GTCTTCCCCTTCTCTCCTGCTATGGAAGATGATGTACAGTGTTTGTATGACTTCAGTGGTGCTGAGGTTGCAGTGAACTGAAACCACTGGCATTGTGGCTAAGATGAGAGTTAGAAATCGGCAGCTATTTATACACGCCCAAGCCCAGAGAAACTTCATGCGGGTCTTTCCCACCAAGGGGGAGGGCTGGAGAGATGGAGTGGAAGAAAAAAAAAAAGAAACAAGAAAGGAAAGAGGTAGCAAAAAGAGGAAGCTCGAGGCTGGCTTCCTGCACGTCTGTCTTCCTGGGCACTACTCAGTCAGTGTGATTGTATGCATGTTCACGCGTCTTCCTGTTTGCCTTGTCAACAGTAACCACAGGTGCTTTGGAGAGTCAACAACAGCAAAAGGAGAGAAAGAAGTGTGGAAAAACATGCAACTATGAAGTGTACGTGCACTCGCACACCAAAACACAATATCATTTACCCACACGTCGGTGTTGGACATGTTATATCGCTTGTGTGTGGCCCAAAGCAAGGGTCGCAAGGGTCACAGGGGGCAGGACTTGCAGATGTTTCCTATTATCCCACAGCACTGACGAGACCTTCCTGGTCACCCTAACTCTGGGTCTCACACTTCTCAGAATCAAGAAGGAAGGGCAGACGGTTTTATTGGCCATGTGATTCCACTGTTGTTTTAACCAAGGCATTGGTCAATGTGGTCAAACAATAAAAAGGACAGCGTCTTTCAAAATGGCAATCCCCATCCGTATGGTTTTGAAGGAAAATCCCTCGGTTATGACGCCACTATCCTGTCATGAATAGGCTAAACTTTGGTGGATCATGACGGGGAAAATCCAGTTGTGCGGATTAAATCAACAAAGTGCTACCTTGAAGAAAATCCCCTCTAATCTATGGCGCTGAGAGATGATCAATTTTAGACACAAACAAGGGAATTTGCTGCAACAAAAGCTGGGCACTTATCACCGTAAAGCTGGAATTGAAAAGGAATCATCTTGTTTGAATTGGACTGCTTCCTCTTTACCTCAAATAGGCAATAGATCCAGAGATCCGCAATGATACATAGAGCCAAATGAATCCCTCTAATCCCTCCTTTCACACCCCCAACCCCCTTCTCACCTCTCCTCCTCCCACCATCCCAACATGCTTCCCTGCAGCACATTGGATAGGCTTGCTGTTAATCGCCATGGGATGAGTGACATGCAGAATGGCTGAGATTCCAAAGCCGGATAACCATGTCTTTCGTGTGTCATTTGCAATCATTGCGATTGAGAAGTGATTCTGTACGGGGGGCTAAAGAGCCAGGAGGTTGTGGAAGAGCACAAAGGGAAGTGAAAAAGATATCGGTGATAAGGCAAACAGAGAGTGATGTGGGTGGTAAAAGAGCGAGCTGTCATTCAATCTGCCACTGTTCAATTTCTATTCTGGACATTGGGGGAACAGACCCTGTAAAGATGAGGACTGTCAGGTGGCTGCAGATAAGAAAGACACTGATGAGTCTATCAGATACATTTATATACTGAAACACATGGCTATGATAATGTATTTCTACTTTTATATATAGACATGTCCGGTGTGAAGGCAGAAATGTGTCGGTGATGTAAACCGCAGTATGTCATGTTGTGGTGTATGTTCCACAGAAATGTAACTTTACAGTCTGAACTGAAGTTCACTTTTCTTGAATGGGTAAAACTCCTCCCACTGTTTGGCTTCCTATGTTATCCCACAGAAATCAAAACGTTCTCTGTGTGCTGTTGTTAAGCATTCTGGGATATGTCGGAGATATCTTACTAAACTAAGCAAGGCAGGTTTCGAAAAAAAGCAGACACTCAAATATAAACAAAAAAACTAGGGATGCAATAAGGTTGGTTTTCTTTATCGAGTCAACTGACGATTATTTTATAGTTTAATCAGTTATTGGTTTTGTACAAATTGTCAGAAAATAGTGAAAACTCCCAGTTTCAAAGTCCAAGGTGATGTCTTTAAAATGTCTTGTTTGGTCAATCCAAAACCAAAAATGATTACTTTCAATGTGATATCAAACAGATTGGAGGAGTCCTCCATGCTTAGGACCTTTAAAACAACATTTTCTCCCAATCTTGCCATAAGAATACTGCAATAAGTAATTGCCGATTACTTTTCTGTTCTATTAAGGAACATACTGTTGCATTTCTGTTTGAAACACAAATGACCCCTTAATGAACAATCTGATTCTTTATAATGACTCTCACTTTTCATTCCCCATCACAGCTTCAGCCTGAGGCAATACACCCCTTACCCACCTACCCCCACCCTGAACCACCATATATCTTTATTGAAACCATATGCTGTGAGCTCCCACAGCCAGACTCCCCTTATCAACACCAGTGAGCTGCATGGTGACAAAGCCTCGGCTCCCACTGTGGGAAGGGGAGCAGGCTCAGCTGGACCCTAGACATGGAGCATGGGGGGGGGGGATTTGCAGAGGATTGGGGTCTGTGGAGAGAACTGATGTTTCTGTTCTCTTGTCCATGTGCTCTTTTTAGAAATCCAAGCCATGAGCCCTTAATGCCACAATGTATGGATATCAGTGGGTTTTGGAATGATGTCATGGGAAGTCATCTCATATAGGGTAAATGAATACAGGGCAGCAGGCTTTGGCATGAAGACTTATTCACACAGTATGCGCCCATATGGGAAAATGGATAGTAATGAGGGCAATCTCATGTCTACAGAAACACTTGTTAACAAGATGATACATCAACAACGTCAATCCACTCATTTAAACACTACAGAGCAAAAGCACATACTGTAAGAGGATATTCTTTTCGTTTTTTACCAAATAGGGTTTGTACGGAGTGCCGGAGAGAAGCCTTTCTCATCAAACTGTGAATGCGCAACATTTGGAATCATCAGTTTACCACTTAGGCTTCATCATAACAAGAGAATCAAGAAGGGGAAGAGAGCAGACCTCGATGACTATGTGAAAAATAATGCTTGCATCCGCTTTATGTATCTGATCGGCTCCAACATTTGACTGATTGTTCATTTCCCATGGTTCAGTCCTCCACCAAGTTTCATTTTTCCAGAATCCAGCTGACTAACTAAAACTGAACCAAAGACATAACCTTCGATGAATATAAAGACTGTAATCTTGCCCCTCCATGTAAATGCAGCATTGTGTGTATAAAAGGCCATTCTATGCAAAGACCCCGGTGATAACAGAGGTTCTCTCAAGCCTGACTCCCCTGGGGCTACACACCGTATGGCTTGAATCAAGACATGCCAATTGATGGCACGGTGGAGGGGACTGGCAGCTTTCAGATGTTCACAAGAAAAATCTCCCAGACTCCTCTGATAAATCATTGGGGGCTTTGTCTTTATCATCAGGAACTGAGTTTGGGGGGAGACGAGGTCAAAGCGTGTTCCTCTGCTGCCTGGTCTGTCTTGTAACAGAAGATAAGCCTCGTCTGTGTAACCGAGAAAGGAAGCAGTGCCACAGTTTGGCCCCCCAAGTTTTGTAGAACTCAAATCAGTAAACGAGTTTAGGCTTCAGTTGCATGAATCATCTGCGTTAAGTGGGTATAATCTGGCAAAAGTAGTGCTTTGTTCTCTGACTTGAAGTGATCATTTAGTATCTGTTTGACACAAGGCTACTGTTTGCAGAAATGTACGGACTTATTTCAAGAACTTTGAGGAAGTTCCTTAACACGTGACAGCACGAGAGAAAGAGGGAACCAGAGCCCCGTTTGACAAGCAGTTGCAAGATGTTGAAATCGGAAAATGTATGGAATGATTTGCATATCCTCAAGAAACAGCACGTAAAAATGATCTCAATCCACACCAACCTTTTAAGCAGTGTGTCAAAGCGAGTAAAAAGAGCTTTGAATCCTTAAGTGTTTAGAAGCTGACCCTGACTTTTGACCTTGTTGCAAAGGGGGCAACAAAAGAAGAGATTTTCCTACAGCAGCCTCAGCAGGCAATAAAGAATCATCATAAAGTCCCTATATTGCTGTCACATTAAATACGGCCAATTTGGAGTTAATCTCAAGCTAACTTATTCTCAGCGGAAAGCAGCAGCCACCTGCATATAACAAACATGACAAGGCAAGGATGAGGAAGACAAACGAAAAATGACAAGGTGAAGAGTAATAGTTTCCTGCAGGTGGGAGCCATCTGCAGTGGCAGTGTGTTGGTGTCTGAATTGGAGTGTGTAATGTTACCAGGATGTTCATTCATCTAAAGCAGCTGATATAGCCTACAATGAGTGATTAAGTAGCAGTGCTGAAATGGTTCCTTATCTCTGAATGGGGAAAAAAGGAGGTGTGGCAGTGTTGAATGCCCATGAATATCGATGTATTTCTTAGGCCAGTGTGGATTGAGCTCTCCTTTAATTGTTTTGAACGTGTGCTTTAACACACAATGGAGAGGTGTGAATGATGCCCTCCAGCAGTCATGCCCATGTTGAAAAGCTTCAACTGTAGCCAATCTCCCAATGAATTTGTTTCTGACATTAGTAAATATTTGTTTAGAAACATGCAGCATATCCAGCAGGCTGCCCAGTTAGAATACAGCTGTCAATAAAAGTCTGAGTGAATAACACAAAGTGCCGCAAAACAACCTATAAACCACAGCTTTGCCTGTTTTTATAAAACAATAACAAGAGTTAATATATCCAGCAGAAACTCGTGTGTGTATAGAACGTATCGCCAAACCCCCAATACCCATTTCTGTTAATTTAGTGTCATACCCAGCCTGTAAACTACAGCAGGGGCTAATATAAAAGTAGATTTTATTCTGCAAAGCGTGCCAATTGATGTTCTGTACATACGCCGAATTAAAGTGTAAAGTCTGTCATGTCATAAAATGTCACAAATGTTCTAATGCAGCGTGTATTTTTGTTCAATGAGACAGTAAACTTGAATCAAAAGATTTACGAGTGGGGTTTGGCGTAATGTTCTGCCCGTGTAGGTGAAAGCGGAACGTGACCCAAAGCAGCGTGAAAGGTAATGTCAAACTTACCGACTGAAGGAAAAGCAATATCCGAACATAATCCCTCTCGGTGTTGAGCATTTCATTTAAAACACAAAGCCGGAGCCGCTGCTGTCGGTCCGACTCCTTCGTGGCGTGGATACCGTTCTCGTGATGCCCGTCGTCCTCTTCCATGATGGTAAGAAAGGTCACTCTCTACAGAAATGCTCTTATTTCACTAAGTATCCACACTTTGTCGAGTTGTTGCTTCAGTCCATCGTTCAAGAGCAAGTTTTCCAAAGCCCCTCACAAGTAGTGATGAGGATTACACCGGTCACACAGGAGATAAAGTTCACTAAAAGTGCCAAACAAGCGGAGAGCCTGGCTGTGTGAGCAGCTGAGAGCGGCGGAGCGAGGCAGACTGCAGATAGGCTGGAGGGGAGGAGGAGGGACCCGGAGCAGAGACACAGGGGCCACAGCTCACTTCTGCTGTGAAGGAGCACACAAACAAACAGAACTTTCAACAACAGTTACATGAATGAACTGCATAAACAATCATATGTCAAAAGTAAACAGGCGTGTTAAATAAATGGACTGTAGTAAAAGGTACAATATTTACCTCCAAAATGTAGTGGACTAGAAGTAGCATTTGGAAATACTCAAGTGAAGTACTAGTATGTCAAAATAGTACTTATGTAAAACTTGAGTGAATGTATTTCCACCACTGATGACAACTAAACTGAACTTATTCTTCATGCTTAGCCTACTAGGGAAATGCCTTAAACAAACTATACGGTCATATAAATATAATAAAACATGAAATAAAAGATTCAAATAAATTACCTATTGCAGTAAACAAAGTAACTTACCTTTAATCTTTTATATATAATGTTAAATGAACATAGCCTACGGTTATAATAAGTAAAGACACCTCTGAAATACTTGTCACACTGCTTGCCCTAGGCTAGGTTAGCTGTTAGCCCAGGGCTAATGATATGCAGTGTGAAAAAGCCATTGAAAAGTCTCAAATGTTAGCATCCCCCCTTCTTGGTGAAATGCAATACATGCTAGCAACTACACAGAAATGCATATCAGAAAGTCTGAAAAACGTACAAAAACTTTAAAAAAGTAAGCATTTGAATTAAGTGTCACGCATATTTATGATACAGTTGTGTTAATTGAGTAATTTAGCTAAATATGTTGCCCCCTACCTGTCACAACAGCAGCCTATCTCACCTGTAGCGAGCACGAGCTGGTACATTTAAGAGGAAGGCGCCCTCTGGTGGATAAAGACAGAAGTGCGACTTATGGTGGTAGAATGAGCACAGGTAATGTGATCAAAACTAACTTTTAGAAACGATTCGGTCTATAAACCACTTTAATTTATTATAAGATATAGCACTGACATGTGTCGTCTGTATTTTATTTTGTGTTGAATTAAGATTTCCCATGGTATTTTTTCAATTTAAACTAAATATATGCCACCTGTTCTTGGTGTAGCCGAAAGGGATGCATAAGGGCTGCAACAATGTCAGTTAAGATTGAATAAGCTTGAAGGCATGATGGCAAGTTTTGGCAACACCTACTGGCACAGGTCTCGACCAAGAGCAGTTGGTTGTTTTTATAGAGGGAACATCCTGCTTATTTCACTGCACTCACATACAAGCATTAATGCCTTGGGCGACATTCACTTTAATTGTGCTGTGAATATTCATAATAGAGCAACTGAAATATCTGCCTAGTAATCCTTTGAATTGTTGCTGCAATTATTACAAGTTATTTAGATGTATGTCTTAATATAGAGCCTAAGTTGCCTCTGGAGGGGAAAAGATTATCAATAAAAAACACTTTCAAAGCAATCCTGTGAACAAAAAGTGAAATATTAGGAATGGCAGAAATTAAAATGTCAGTAATAGTTTTAATTGATGCATTTTACATTCAATACCCATTGTGATGCTCCCACACATAATTGCATACATACATAATTTTTCTCGCAATCTCAGATGAGGAATGCAACAGACAACTTTTAAATGCCTTACACTATCATATATTTACATATTTATCCTCCGCTTCTGTACATGGCAAATCTTTAAATATGGAGGAGTAACTAGCATGTATGACTGATTGTATGTGGTTTCTTCGAAGCAAATTGAATGTTACTTTTTCCTTCCAAAAAAAGGCATGTGCGCAAAGCACCGTCATAGAAAGTGAGTCACACAGTTAGACATGACAGGTTAAAAACTCCACGACGCCTCGTCTTCATTCGTATTTCACAAGATAAAACTCTTCCTTCAGCAGGGGTTTCTTTCAAACTGCACAAAAGTACAAAAAGGACATGAAAGGTAACCAATGGGAATAGAAAGAATCAACATAAAATGTGCTCAGTGCATTAAGACTTTCCAATATGACAAAGAGGAGTTTGCCCTGTTCCATCGCTGTGATAAATAAATTCACATTGTTACAGGCAGACAGTGAAGAGGGCTTGAATCAAAACTAAAGTACAGTGAGTCAACGGAAAAAAAGTGAAGCAAACAAAAAAGAAAACGTGTGAAGGCTAAACTGCACATTTCTGTTGCCAAAACATTTAAATATTGGGTTTGAGTGAAAAAAAATAGCTTTAATTACACAATGAGCCAAAATGCAAGCTATGTATAACACAGATAGCTGCAGTGAGTGAGTTGGCCTTTGAAGAGATTTGTTTGGAGGAGCAGGACAGTTTAACTGTGCTTTAGCTCGGTTTGGAAATGTGGATAAAATATCTTTGTGGTCATTTCGAATTAGCCCTGCAAACACTATGTGCAAAATGAAGGAGTTTCTGTAACTAAATTCATTATAATTAGAACAAGAGTAAAGCAGTTCTAGGGTTATGTCTAGCCCAAATGGAGTTTTTATGGGGGTCACTATGACTCCATGTAGTGTGTATGAATCGACTGGCTGAACAAGCATACATGTGACCACACACACACTGCAGTAGGTTGTGAGACGGGATGAAAGAGACGGCGTAGTTGTCAAAAGTGGCAACGTAGGAGTCCTAGAAACCAAATACAAATATATAAAGAAAAAAAATTCTTGTGTGCTTGGCCCGATGTGTGAGGAAGACTTCAGCAGGTGTCTGCATGTTAAATGACAATGTGTTGTAACATTAGATGAAGGGTTAATGCTTTCAATCCCTTCTTGAAGCCACTTGCCTTAAAGCAGCAGGAGATGTTTATTACAGAGAATGTTTTATAATGTTTGCATCTCCTTGGAGAAAAATCCAGCTGTGAATCTGTTTGATTAAAACAAAACCAGATATGCAGATTTTGGGACACAACTCTGTATTACCAAAGCATCGTGAAAATCAATCTCATCACAGGGTTTAGAGGACAAACTTTTTTACAATTTCAGAAAGGCCGACAGTGTAACTATTGCAGTTAAAGACGAGCAGAGACTCTTTTTTGCCACGAAGCATGATTCTAAATGGTGGGGGGGAGAAAGTCACTGTTGAGCTTCAAATCTTCAATCAGAGGCTGCGACAGAGAAATGCAGCTTTTCCCGACGTGGCTTTTTGACACTTTGCTCTCAGAGTCAAAGGCAGACAGTGTTGATATATGTCGTCATATAAATAACAAACAGTACAGTATAAATATAAAGATCTGCGTGTGGTGTGTGTGTGTGTGAGTGTATGCACGCACAGTAAATGGTGTATGAGTATAGGACGAGAGAGTGTATGTGTGTATGTGTGTGTATGTGTGTGTATGTTGTAATGTGCGCTTGTGAGCCAGTGTTAGGACAGGGCTGGGGGGAGGTTAGAGGTGAGGCTTTTCCTCCCCCACCTCGCGGAAGAGCGAGGTGTAAAACTCAGGCTCCAGCTGCTTGTTGCGGTAACGCTGGACTATCTCAGTTATTTTCTGCTTCCGCCGCACGTGAGGCGGGTTGTACAAGTCACTTTCCAGACGCTTCCGTCGGCACACGTTGATGACCGTTTGCCGCACGAGGAACCCTGAAAGGAGCAGGAGGAGGAAGAAACAGGAGCTCATCAGCACAAGGTAGTCCAACATTTTTGAAACAGTGTACAACAGCAATTTCAGGAAATAGATGAATCCTATGACAACCATGAACATTTACAGCCAGGTAAGATAAAAGGAGTCAAGCATAACATTTAAAACTTTTGTAACTGCTTTAACTGAAGGACAAGGTTCATATGTATATAGACATATTTGTATTTGTGTATATTAGTGTTTTTAAAAGCAAGAAAAAAACATTAAAAAGGACAAATGATGCTTATTTCTGGTTCATATGTGTATTTTGTGCCTCCACTGTGACATTTTAACATGCTTTAATGTTCAAAAAGTGCTTCTCTGTTGTGATTGGTCGACTGCTGTGCGAGTGTTATATAGCAATGTCATCAAGTGACGGAGACAAAGGATTCCAATGGAGCTGTTTCAGGCAGGGGTGGAGTGTGTGGGAGAGAAACTCTCTCTGAAGGGAACTTTTGGATTTTAGCCTTTGCAGACCATTTACATGCACACAAACCCATATAACGCTATAGGAAAGGGAAAACACCCCAAAACACAATAGGGCTTCTTTAAAAAAGCGTCAAACTTTGCCATCTGCTGGCAACAAATTAAATGACATGCATGGAATGGCTTTTTCATGGTAAATGTTTGTTTCAGCATAGGGGATATGAATGCTGTAACATATTTAACTTATTATTATCATTAACCAACTATTGGTGACCAATAACATTTCCAAAGGCTTTTTCAGTAGAATTTACCAACAGAAGCTAGTATATGCTGGCTCAAGTTAATGTTGGGATTAAAAAGAACACGTTAGAGATAGGTAAAGAGAGTTGTTACCTAGTGCTCTGCGGCTGACCACCATGCCGTCCACCAGAGGAATCACCATGCCGAATTTACCCACAGCCCCATGCAGCCGCATCCTGAAGAGTCCCGTCTTCAGAGGTTGGATGAAGATCAGAGGAACGTCCTTTTCCAGTAACCCTGACCTGCAGCAGGAGAAATTACAGGGCAATGATGGACGATAACTTAATGAAGAATAACGTTTGAGACGATACAAAACCCAATGCCAATACCATTTATACTTGCAAGGAACACGTTTCTTGACTAAGGTGCTAATATATTAACACCCCACATTCAAAAACAATAGAGTGGTGCAGGAATAAGTCTTAAAACCCGGATATAAGTTAGCATTTCACCACTTCAGTTTCCCTTGTCTCAAGGTCAATGGCTTTTTGAAAATGTTTTTGGTTAGATGCCGGAAATAAGGTCTGGTGGTAACACAAGCTCAAGACATTTTCAAGTTTTGTTTTACCACATAAAATATGTCAGTGAATTGTTGAATATCTGAAGCCTCTTTGTGTCATACAATCTAACAAGTGGCTAAATGAGACGTTGTCATGCCAAAGATGATGCCTTTAGCTTAGCAGTGGTGACGTGATGTAGTACGGTTATAGCCTAACGTTAGCTTTTTACTTCTAGAGATTGCATTAACGTGGTGTTAATATGTGGAGATTTTACTGCTGAACAAAACATCTAAGTACAATAAACCTGCGTTTGCCACAGATCTTATTTCCTGCAACATTCCAAAATCTAATGGAAAAACCCCTTTGGATTTTAAGAAGAGGGAGCCCTTGAGTTCTCAGTCCATTTAAGTCAGTCTGAGGTTTGTGGACTGTGGTCCTAGGTCATTTCAATCTAATTACTTAAAGTCTAAACGTCTTTAAAGTTGCATTTTATCTCAACCTTAAAAAGATTAACTAAAACAACCTACATATTATTCATGTTTCACAAAAACGGAATTGTTTTCGAAGCTACTTCACACTTCCTTCTTCTGCACACACTGCATGTACTTCCTGTTCTGCACTCTTTGTTTCTTATCCTGCATGTACACACAGTGTGTTTTTGCGGAAATGCTTTTTTTTCTTTACTTTTTTGACACCTGGCAGAAACCAATTCAGAAACCATATGTTCTTCTTTCTGTCTGCAAAGTGTTGTGTTTGCGAGCGTCTGTATACCTGCAGGAAGTGCTGTTGCTCATGCTCCCTTCCAAGCCCGTGCTGGTTTCCGCCAAGAGGTCAGACAGAGGGAAGTTCTCTAAAAACACAAACACAATGACGTTCATGTAACTTGATCCATTAGCCATACACTTAAGAAATGTGTTTTTATACAGGCACATTTGAAGGCTACAGGGCCTATTTGTTTAACAATATGTTTGAGTTTTATATTAAAGAAATTGCATCTCATAACAGTTGCTTCACTATAAAATAAAAATAATAAAAATATTTGTATAAACAAAAGAAGTACAACTATCCACATTGTACTACAATGTATTACGTGTATATAACAATAATGATCAAACAATATGAAAAATGTAGGAAGAAGAGTTTTTTCTTCCTACCGATATCATCGAAGCGCTCCACCCAGACCACAAACACCTTGGTCTCGGGACCCAGAGGTGGGAAAGACTTTCCAGTGGACGACCTCTTCGACTTCACCAAAGGACTCAGCTGCAGAAATAGCACAAAACACAGTTCACAACATAAAGCAACTAGACATTCTTATCAGTATATAGTTCAGATACACTAATATTACCTTTTTGGCAGACTCCAGGTTTTCTGAATGGTTGGGGAACAGCTCCAGTGTGAGATGGGGTTGTTTGAGTGACCCGGGCACGATGTCTGCGTTAGTGTCCGCCTCCACGGTGGAGTCGCTGTGCACCGACGACTCCTCTGGGGAAAATCAAGGGAACAACAGCAACTCTGTCAACTCTTGGTTATTATCCCACACTGTATATTACTAGTTAGGTAGGTGCATTTTTTTAATTGTGCAAAAGATTAAAAAAACCTAATCTAAGTGGCTGCCATTATATGAGCTGTTTGAATAAATAAATGATAAGGAAAGAAGCTTCAATGCTTCCTATATAATCTCCTTTAGTATAGGATACACTGGACTATCTTTACGAAAGGAAAGCAGATAATGCTGTCCCACAATTCCTAGCATCCCCAACGTTCGAAGTGACGAACCATTTGGCCGTTCCTAGAAACAACAGGTGGTCACCAACATCTTCAAATTATGTAATTTACCTTTCTTTATAAGCATTTGTCATCTTCCATATCTTTCCAAAATGCTTATATGTGTTGATTTTGACAATAATTTAAACCATAAGGAAAACTATGAAGTCATTACTGTAAAATAATCAAATAAAGTCAACATTTCAAGTTCTTTACTGAGTTGGTTGGTGTTTCTTCAGATTTTGTTTTTTTATTCTAACATGTTTTAATGCCAATACGCAAAGTAGTAGTGAATACTGACCAGAATTCTCCGATAACGAAGGAACAACGAAGGCAATCTCTGTCAGAGCATCAGCATAGTACAAAACTTTCTTCTCCCCGTTGAACATGGAGCCTCCTGTGTCCTCGGGAGTAGCTGCGTCCTCTACAGTGTCAACAAAAATGTAAAGTTAGCATTGTCTTAGTTACTGCAAAAATCCAACATGTAGATAAATGGCAATTATGTGCATTACCCGTTTGTTGGAAATCAGTGCTGTCGGAGCAGGAGTTCAGGGACCAACTGGTGTCCAGGTGTCCCGTCCAGCCCGGGTGGCGTCCCACGTCCACAGGCCAGCCCAAGGACAGCAGGAACTCCAAGAAGTGGGGCTGGACGCTGGACGACGACTCCACATTCCTCAGGATCTGAAATGTACCAAATACTTAGTGTCAACATCTGCACGTTTTCACGGTGCCTAATTTCAATTCAAAGTAATGAAAAGGGCAGCAGACAGTCATATTTTAACTTTTGAGTTTGTTTTCTCATGGTTGAATGTACTTAATGAAAGTAGAATTGGTTACAAATGTCAGCCAAATATAATGTAATGTAAATATTTGCCTAACGTCCCGGTCATTTACAGTTTACCGTTTAATTAATCCGTTGCGAGTCCCCTTACCTCCGGGCTGCTTTTCTGTCCAGCCCTCACATAGAAAATAAAGACGGTGTCAAACGGTCGGCAAGGAAGCAGGTCTAGGTAGCTTATGTCATCAAAAAACCCGGGCAACGAAGACTCCAGGCCAATCAGATGAGGAGGTAGACGACTGTTGTTGGGCTCCTATTAATAATACACAAATAAACATAAATTCTAAATGAACACTAATAACAATCCTATGAATGTATATATATATATATATATAAATATATAAATGTATACAGAACACTATCATTTTCAATAGACCACAGGCTTAAATAGAGTTAAAATGCAAAAGTAACGTATTAGTAGCCGGAGGACTTTTTTCTCATCAACCAATCCTGTACCGACCTTGAGCGCCTCCAGAGACAGAAAGCCGAAGTGTGAGAGGAAGAGGCGAGCTGTTTGGAACTCCTGCGCGGGGGACGGCGGTTTGCAGTCCGTCTGAGGGTCGGGGTAAGGCTTGGACTTCCAGATCTCCTCGCTGTGTCGCTCCAGGGAGTTCTCGTACTCCATCTGCTTTGTCATCAGAGCCCGGAGCTTGTCATGTTGCAGTTCCAGCTAACGGAGAAGAAGAAGGGGGTGGCCATTTTAAGACAGATTTTGAGACGGTTTTAAAGACGCGGTTGCTCATGAAAGGCACCCGATTGGATACATTCAGCATTAACCCATGAAGACCCAGTCCAAACACTGAAGTGTCACCTTCTAAAGTCAATAAAAGTGTGCACCCGTGCTTTAAAACATTAGTATCAAACATTTTATTGGAAAACACAGCTACTGTAACCTCGATTGAATATTGGATTCGATCAAGGTTACGGTAGCTGTTTTTTCCAAGTACAATATCTCTGCAAAAATTCCCTATTTTCTAAGCTTTAATCTTTGAGAAGTGGTATTGATTCATCTCTGTTGTCACTTTTCACACTGTGGTTTTACATTAAAAGCTTAAAATGATTGCAAGGTTATTGAATTGGATTGAGAAACAGGGTTAGGGTTAGGGTTAGGGTTATCATCTAAAATCATTGCATGTCTTCCACCAAACCAGTTGATTTGACCCTTTTTCCCCCCAAGAGACACCAAAGTGAAACGTCATCTCTCCAACAACTCACGTGTGGGAAATTACTGATCAGAGCATTTGTAGCTCTTGATTCATCCAGCCAGCCCATACAACCCACCTGAGTTTGTATGATAACACATCATATGAGGGATCACTTTAGTCTATAGTGGTATTTATATCCATGACATCAAACTTGTTTCAGCTTGTGCCCGAAGTAGAATTGAATCCTGTATTGATGAATTATGTGGATACGATATCAATGACATGGTTCAGCAGGAAGCGGATCTCACCTCTTTACTGACAATGTCATCCAAGTCAGGAATACTGACGTCCGCTTTGACCAGAGGAATCTTATCCACCTCTTCGGGGAAGGGCCTCTGCTTCACGTTGTACTTGATGCCCACACCGTTGTTGGGTTTTGGACGGCCCTCTGGAACAAACACCTGCTGCAGGAGGAGAGGAGTGGATATATATATATATATATATATATATATATATATATATATATATATATATATATATATATATATATGGAGCGGGGTTGTTTTATCAACTGAACAGATGTGGAGTTTTTACAACAGAAACACTCAAGCAGTCATTTTAACAACATTTCTGATAGAGTTGCAGCAATTGATCAGTCACCAATGTCCTATTTCAGATTTGTTGGCGGTCAAATGTACCTACATGTGCCGAATGATGTGTATATGTCACAAACATGGCATCCCAGACAGTAACAGCCACACATACTAACCATGCTGTTAGTATGGAATCTCTATAGAATGAGTGAAGAAGAAGCAGTCCTAAATTAGGAAATGATATTAAAATGGAAACTGCCTATTATCCACCGGCTACGTATCGTTGGTTAGTAGTTATCTCCAAGCCGGTAACATGAAAACAGCTGGACATTGTTTATTTGCAATGACCCACACTGCAAGAAACATTTGAAAAATGTACTTTGTTTTTCTATATAAATATGTTGTACTTCCTTTATTTTGGGAAGGTAAACCTGTTAGATAGGGTAGGATAATCTGTGATTTATTTTCATTGGATTATATTTCTCAAGGGACCTTGAAGCAATTATATTTTGAAATGTGTAAGAGTGAGAGAACATTTAACTTGGTGCAGTTTTACAGAACATGTAAGTGTAATTGTTTTATAAAGAACACACAAGTAAATTAGATTTTCCAAGAAAAAACAGCTACACAAAAGTTTGTATATGCCGTCAATTATATTTCAAATTCTGTCAATTACAGCAAAAAAATGGGAATTTGCAGGTTAGACAAGAAATCTGACAAAAATAAGCAATTGTTGCATCTCTTAGTCCTGGATTAGTATTGGTGATGTTGTCTATCATGATGCAGTAAACTACAGGTAGTTCTCACCCTCTGATTGGCCCGAGCTCCTCTGGGTTGATGGAAGAGCTGCATGGTCCAGGCATGTCTGCCTGCCGTGCCTCGGATCAGAACCGTCACTGATGGACTCGGGTCTGAGGAGACACAGTCATTTATTTTTACTTAATGACAGTCTCTACTTGTACAATAAAATATTAACCAATTAACCATCATATATCTCAATAAACTGGTGTAAGGTCAAAGGGTACTGACTCTGCTCGTTGCCGAGGGGTTGCTCCAGCATGGCGAGGATGACCGAGTTGTCCAGGACGAAGTAGCGGAAGTTGCTGGCTCCCGTGGCGCTGAGTCTGGCGTAGCGGATCAGGGTGTCTTCATTCAGCAGGCTGCAGGTGGAGGCGGGCCCGCTGGGGGAGGGGAAGGCCCCCAACACCTGCATGATACTAGGGGACACCACAGAAAACTGGGTCAACAGGGAGGGTCAGCCATTTTAACTTTATTTAACAGCCATCTGTGTGGGAATTCAGCAGAAACTAGGTCATTGTATCAGCAGAAAAATAGAACAAATACAACATTTAAAAGAAATACTAAGACAGAAAGCACAACATTACTTTTTTTAATGCAAATGTAAACAAAATAAAACGTGATATTCAGATGTGTTATTAATAACATGCATTTTGAAAGGAAGTATTTTAATAAATGTTTTATACATTTTAATCATCATATTTGTGATGTCATCACCCTAAAAGATTGTGTATATATACTTAAAAATCTTAATTTGATTTAGAGGATTTATTGGATTAAATGTGGTTCTTTTGTAAGGATATATCTTTTGTGTTTTAAGTAAATAATCAGAACCGGTTTTTATGACCAAGTAGGTTTTTTGCTTTGGTATATGTGGTTCATACAAAGACACAGAAAGAAGAATAAGTAGCATAAGTAAATACAATAAAAATAGGACATAACAATGACAGCTATTCTAAGACTATTATAACAAATAAACATTATCTAAATATGACAAATACTATATACTGTATTGACAACTGACATAATGGGGCTCTGCAAGCTATTTAGCATACAAAGCAACATTAGCAGTGAGAATGTGCTCCTCTACAATAGACATCTGTCTGCTAGCTTGTCAACAACCATGGTTCAAATCAGGATACGCGTCTAATACAAATACACTGCTGTCTGGATGTCAACCTGACAGAGTCGATGGAGCGTTAATGGTTACTGTTTTATGAAAGTTTGATATATGCAAAGACGTTCTTTGCCTTAACACTGGATTCCAAAACACATACTAAAAAACACATAATCCAATAAATCAAGTAAATGTTTTCCTTTTTAAACCAAAGCACTTTGAAAATGTCGATTGAATAGAGAGTGGTACACAGCGTCTTAACCATATTGAAAAAACGTCAAATCAGATCCATACTGTAATCGTTTTTTGAGGAATCTCACCAGGATAAAGTGGCCTCCGCAGCATCCTTCACCCTCATTGAGGCCGGGTTGTGCTCCTTCTCCCCTTTATGTCGGACTTCCAGTTCCTGTCGAGACTTACTGCCAGATATTCCCAGCTCCACAATCTCCAACACCTCTACCAGACAATCCTGATGCAAAAAGATAAAAATGATAAAGAGACAGAACCACAGACAGAGTTTTCTTTCCACATAAATGAGGCTAGACGTTAGCCTCATTTCTAAATTGTTAATTTGAGAGAAATGGGAATTCTCTGTATGTTTTTGGTGGAAATTAAATCAGGGAATTTTAAATTCAATCTTCACCTTCTCATCCAGCATGTCGGGGTGTTCTGTGAGCCACACACAGAGAAACTGGAAGGCAGCTACAATCATGGAGTGGAGGTCTCGGGACTGGAGGGGAGCTGGACGGCTGCACTGGTACACGATGTACCCACATATAGAGCTGACGGCCCGCTTACGGTCTGCAGAGTCTACTCCCACCTTCACCTGTGTAGAAAATACAGGAAAATGTATTACTGAAGCTACAATATAAAATGATTAATGTAATGCAGCTGTAACGTTTTTTGTATGCCTTGATGCTTAAGCAATTGTCCGATTATTTGGTACAGTATTTATTTATTTTTTACACCCACATGCAGTATTTTTGTTTGTATATGCTGTTGTAAATACTCCTGTTGTCTGCTGTGTTCAGACTCAAGTCATGTGTGTGATGCCACATTCAGGACCTTCAGTGTCCTTTTTTTAACAGAAGACCGTTGCTAGAAGCTGCAGCTAGACTGCAGAAGTATTAGGTTTTAGTTTTTGAGGATGGAAAAACTTCACACACAGATATAGGGAGGCTAGACCTATACAATTGGTTTATAAATTAATGTCAAGACATTTATGTTATTGATTTCTGACGCACTTTTCATATTTATCTTACTGCATGTATTCATTGATGTAAAAGAAGCCATGTGCAGTAATATAGAAAATTGAGGATGCAACGCATTGTTATGCATCGTGATGCATCGGAATATCGAATCGTTGACAGGATAATTGTAATCGAATTGAATCGTGAGACCAGTGAAGATGCACAGCCCTAACATACATACAGAAGAGTGTTCAAGAAGGTGCGCTAGCTAACTGGGACCATTAACCAGAGAAATTGTCGGGTTCTATCCAGAAACTTCTCTCCTTCTGGTAATTGTGGTACTGTGTTGGGCAAGTCCCTTGTGAGGAAGTTAGAAATGTCTGACTTGACATGAACCCCCTGAACGCACCATTATGTTTATTCTGCTTGGCTAGTGGCAGAAAACATGTCCGTTTCTATGGTAACAGGCACATACTTTTATTAAATCAGATTTAATTAAAAAGAGGTTTCACTGTAAGCCTTGAGCTTAAAGCAAAGAAATACAGGTTACTCAAACAGCTATTGTTATTAAAATAGAGTGTTGGTGTAGAGATCATTTTGGTTATGTCCAAAATAAAAACGTTTTTACATTGTTTTAATGTTTTTAATGGGTGCTACTTCACAACTTTTATACATTTACCTACTTCATAATGCTGCTTCTAATTTTTATTTTTTTTACAAAGGATGTGTCCTTTTTATTTTATAGAAGTGTGTTTGCCTAACAACCTACATTTCCCAATTCTGACGAAGGAGGGCTCAGTCTGTAGGGCCTTGGCTCGGGAGGGGTCCCCGGTTCAGTACAGAGCGTTGACTGGTTGCTGGAGAGGTGCAAGTTCGCCTGCTGGGTACTGCAGGTGTCCTTGAGCAAGGCACTGAACCATGGAAGGCTCTTGGCCCTGATACCTCTCCACTAATGCATGGGTATAGGTCCTGTTTGTGCATGTGTGCTTGTGCATATTTTGGGTCTGTGTGTGTGATAAACTGTAAATAACACCAAAACCCCAAAACGTATGACTTATCTTATTCAATAAAGGATTTCTGAAACTGATTGTTGAAACATTGGTGATCTGAATGACATCCACCATTCCCCCCCTGGCCTGCCAGCTAGTAATGCTCTCAGATTGTTACAATGCAGTGTACTGACGTTGTGCCTTTACCTTGGCTAGCCCCGCCAGCAGCTCCAGTGCAGCCAGTGAGATGCTCATGTCCTGCCTCCACTGGGAGTTGAGTCTCTGGGTGACCAGGTGGATGCTGCGCACCAGCAGGCCCGCCGCCGTATCTGCAAGAGCTAGACCATATAACACCCGGAAATACCAAACACCGCGAAGAGTAGAGCAAAGCAAGAGTCAGGCAACGCAGTTTGAGGCAAACAAGACAACAGCAAAAAAAAAAAATGTTTAAACATGCATTAGGAGTAGTTTAAAGCACATAAAAAAAATACAGGTAGATTAGAGGTAGATAAAACGCTGAGAATTAGGGCTGAGCGATCAAGTTTTGACTTTAAAAGAATCATAAACTTTGTGTGTGATATATTCTTCCAAAACTGACTTTATTAATAAAGTACATGCATACACATTCTATATAACACTACAGGAAAGGGAAAACCCCCCCAAAAGCATAAAAGGGCCCATTCAAAATTGTTTTTTAAAAATAATAACAAAGTGTTGACCTGAAATGTAAAAAGAAAACAAAAAAAGTATCAACCACTGGACGTTACACAGCCTTAAGTAAAGGATGTGACACAAGTAGAATGATCTCTTTCCATAACCTCCACAGTAACTATTGGCGATGGAGATGCTTTGAAATGTAATTGCGTGAGGCTTCTGTATAAAACTTTTGTAAGATTTACATGTGGCTTAATTTTTTTATTGTTTGTTGAGCAAAAGAATCCCAAATCATGCTGAATTAGCTGCAGTTGTCTTCAAACCTCCTTCCTCTCTCAAGTCTTGCTGCTTCCTGTCCTGCACCGGGCCTCAGAAATAACAATGAGACAGGAACAACGGGAAACCCCCCCCCTCCCGCTTCCTGCTGGACAGAGTCGCCCATGGTCAGCAGTGTTCAGTAACAAGTTGTGGGCAAAAATGCAATAAGAGCAAAAAAAATAAAAATATTTTCCAACATATTCTTTAGTCAAACATCACTCAGCCCTACGGAAGAAAACGAGAAAATCCTCCCATCACTCAGAGAAGAAAATGCATTTAGCTCAAAAGAATCTGCAAAACAGCACAGCATCACGGCAAATCACTTTGGTATTACCTACAGAGACATTTTACCCAACGCTTCTTAACTCTGCATACCACTTTAACCACGTTAGCTATGAGGAACAAATGTGTTAACATGTTTTGCAGGGAAAAACAAGCAGGTACCGATAACAATCAAATCATATTCCAGCCTCCAGTTATGCACCATCTGTCTAAAGGGTTAATTCAGCGAGCAGGAGGAAGGATATTAGTTTAGTGGCTGCGTGTCTTACCGTAGTCTCGCAGCAGGGCCTGGCCAGGTCTCTCAGAGTCGGGGCTGGTGGCCTCCGTGCTCCCCCCGCTGTTGAAGCTGATGCCGCTGTTGGTGCGGCTGTGATTGTGACTCCTCACCGCCATGTTGCTCCCGTCTATGCTCCCCTGTCAGCACAAAAACACAGCCATCTTCAAGTCCCCGACGCTGCTTCTGGCGTTATAAAAAGTTAATCGTTCATCCGAGCCTTACCGTTTCAGTCTGTGCACCTATTGACTCCAGCAGTGCCGAGTCTTGAACAATGTTTAGCATTGCACCTGAGGGGAGGTGAATTATTAAACAGTGCATAGAGTAAAAGGCGATTCATTTACCTTTTACTGAAAAATATGGACTTGTTAAAAAAAATACCATTTTGATTAAAGTATTGTAGTGCTGCAGAGAAATTCTGGTCTACAAATCGTTTTCTACAGATTCAAGAAAAAAAATTTGGTACAGATCCTCTTAACAAATAATCACACCTCAATTGCTTTGATAACATTTCAATTATAATGAGAATATGCAAAAATGATCAATCCCTCCAATATGGTGAAACATATCGCAATTTCAATATCACTCAAAATAATCGCAATTTTCCCGAATCGTGCAGCCCTAATGTTAACACAGTTCTAAGTCACATGTCCTTTGGCTGACTACAAGGACACTGTGGCATGTTCTCTGCAGGGACTGGAAATCTAAACATTTACCCCCTAAAACAAAGACGTCCATTAAGTCAATCAAAATAAGAACAAGTAGAAGCAAAATAAGTAGATCAGATACCCAGGATGAGCTGTGTGTTGGTGGGGTCCGTCTCAGTCTGAAGGGCTCCTATGAGGACGTTGACGAGACGCAGCCTCAGGGACAGGAAAGACACGGGCTGGTCATGTGGCCACCCATCCTCCTCGTTGAACTTTCCTTCCAACAGAACCTGAAGCACAAAATCAACATACTGTAGTAGGGAATAAAGCTGCACAATGAATTTACAATATGGACTTTATGACATTATTCAAGCCGCAGTCAGCACAATATTTGGCTAAATATGTGTTAAAATATAACATATCAAGGATATCAAATCGCATTTTCTACAAACTTAATAAAACATATTTGTTTGGTACAGTTCCTCTATAAAAAAAAATCTGATCATTTAAATATATTTTTCAATGATAATGAGATTTATGAATCAAAAATTATAAATTCCGTTCTATATTGCAAATCATATTAACTTGCAAATTTGTGGAAAATAATTGCCATGAGTCCTTTTTTCCAAATCATGCACCCCTAGTAGAAATCGGACTTGTTTTGGACTACAAGTGGCTTTATGGTGCAGAACATTTTCAACAAAGATTAAATAAGCTAAGGCAATGACATTAAATGATTCAATTAACTAATGAATTAACTAAAATGTGCAGAAAGCCGTACCTCTGATTTGATGTTGCCAAAATGATGCGGCAAAGACAGCATGGCAAGCAGGATGTTGATGGAGGCTCTCCGCAGGTCGGTGGGATTTACGTACATCTTGAATTTGGACAGCTCCCTGTCAACAGGAAAACAAATATCATGGGCTTCAAGAAACTTAAGACAATATTCTCCAAACGTCATACAGTTACATAGTAAATAAAATATGCTTATTACATGAAACAAAAACCAGTCTGACCTGTCTGGTACAATAGTCTCCAGGGCAGCTATAAAGTAGGGCACCAACACGTTGATGCCTTTCAGGTCGGTGCAGAACAGAGAGGAAGAGTTGAGGATGATAGAAGCCAGAACTGGTCTGCAGATAAAATCTGAGATCTGGAGACCCTGAATCAGGACCATGTAGAACCTGCATGAAAACAGGAGGAGTATAGTTTTGCAGTTTAATATCTTAGCAGTTGAAAAGGCACTAATCCCATGCTGAAACTAGTTCAAAAGAAAATGTGGCATATTCAAAAAAGAAAAATTGCAACTTGCACTGAAGAAATATGCAAGTATATGCAGTATCTCATGTAAAGGTTTTTTAATTATTTCAAAAAATAGCATTGTTAAAAAATTTTGTTTTCCCCTTTCAATAACCCTAACACAATTTGTACATATTGCACTATGCTCATTGTTTTTGCAGTTTTAATATATATATTTTTTATATTCTACGTTCACACTTGTATAATCTCTTTATATAGTAACTTAAGTTTATATTTTCATATCTATTTTTTTATATATTTATTCTTAGTAAAACATTGGTCTATTACAGTTTATTCTAAATTATTCTGTATATTTTATATTCCACAAATACCATAGATATTTATATTTCTACTGTTGATATTTCTATATTTATTGTTACATTTCATTTTTATTATAGTTGTAACTAATGTGCAGTGCCTTGTTAGTATGCTGCTGTAACACATTTGTATAAAGTATCTACTGTATTCTATAATAAAACGAAGTTACCTGGACAGGTAAACGGGCAGAATGTCTTCTCCGGTCTTCTTGCTACAGAAGATGCGGCAGAGCGTCCCGCAGGCCTCCGCCCGCCCCGCCTCGTAGCTCTCTGGGAACTCGTTGGCGTCGAACATGGGGTTGGACACCATGGAGTCGGTGGACATTTGGGAACCCTTCCTTCTCAGCTCCAGACCTACTTGAGTGGCTATCGCTGTATAAAGTGAGGAGAAAGAGAGCATGAAAGGACCCTGAATTGTAAATGTGGTCATTAGCAGACATGCATGTATGAGAAACAAGGCAAACATGTAGCTACTTTACGCACAATACAATAAAAAAAAGGTAAAATGAAGAAAAAGCAGACATTTAAATCGCTATCACAAGAGAGAACCACTCACTTCATTTGAAAGCATTCAAAAAGGGAACTCTGACACAAAGAGCTTACCACCTATTGCTGGCACAAAGTATGACCAAGTGTAACATGCTGGTAATAAAAATAAAAATAAAAATAAAATTGCAAGGCCACAAAAAGCAAAACCCCTGCGTCAGCTTCCCTCGCTGTTGCAATTGTATGACTCGGGTACAGATCATTCACTTCATGCATTGAGGCACCAAACCGATAAAATCATAACTCAAGTGACAATACAAAAAGGAAAAATTATATAAAATAAATGCTGAACCTGAGGAGGGTCTGAAACTAAATAAGGATTAGTGTGACACAAAAAAAATAAAAATGAGAAAAAAACATGATGGCGTTGTCACAAACTGGCAACGTTATGGTTGGTAAGTGGTCAGTTGGTGAAACCCATTCCATCACCTTTGGAGAAACGCTGAGATAACGCTGGTGAAACGTTTATATAATATATATATATATATATATATATATATATATATATATATATATATATATAGATATATATATATAGATATATATATATATATCTATATATAGATATATATGACAAGCAGTGGGAACGGAAAACAATGGGCGATAATGGCGATGGATCATGAGGAACTTAACTGAAAAGCAGGAATAACTGTCAACGAAACGCAAATCAAGTGAGGAAAAAAAAAGAGCTGCCGTTCCTACTTACAAGATTTATAAGAAAGGAGAATTTGGATAAAAGAGGCTGCAAGATAACAGAAATAGTGGAGAGACACAAAATCAAAGCATATCCAATATTTTGGGGTCAATTCATATCACGCATGAATTGTGTTTTTCTCCTCAATACATGACTTTTGACCTATTACAACTCTTAATCAGACATGGTAGACACATGCAGGACACCAAAAAGAGAAAAATAAATGGAGCCAATAAAAGCCAAATTTCTATTCAAATACAATGTATGTACGGGCTGAGATTGATCCTGTAGCAACGATTTACCAATAAAATAACAGTAAAAAGTCATTAGCATATGGTTGTAATCTATATAAGCCAGGTTTAAATAGTCGGTGGATGTAAATGGATCAGAATCAGATGGAAATCTCATACTAGGCCACTTCTAACCAAGCCCTCCACACACAGAAGTTACAGAGAAAATGGTTAAAAAAAAAAAAAAGGATAGGATATCCCAACGCCATACAGTAAAAAAAAAAGAAAAGAAAAAACAGACACTTAAAAAACGAATATAACTCCACAGAAACATGTACTAATGAACAGCGACGAGACACCCACCTGCCCATGCATTAATGTAATGCTATTAACCATCGGCTGGCTTCTTACCGGTCATGCTGGGGTCTCTGCTGAGGCCGCTGTGGAGCTTACAGTGGACCAGGGCCGCGTCGAAGAGCCACTGGCCGAACAGGTTGAGGATGCTGTTGACTTTGGGACGTGCCGGGGCGGGCAGGGGCCGAGACTCCCAGCTGCTCTGGTTGGGGCTGGAGAGCAGCGTCGGGGAGGAGGACTGCTGCTGCTGCTGCTGCTGCTGGGACCCTTTGGTTGGTTGACTGCCACTGCCCTGCAGAGGGGGGAAGGGACATTTGATTAGGCTACAAAAAAGATTAGCTCAGTTGTGCCTGCTACTGACATTTTTAATTTCCTTTGGTGGAAAAGTTGTCTGGGCTTTCTTTGGCACTAATCTGAAGAATGGGTTAGGGTTGGGGTAAAGGATTTGGGCTGTTTTTTCTTTATATTTTATTATACATTACAGTATTGTCATATTACAAAGACTACATATTGTATGATAAAAAGAGTTAACATTTATTTTTACAATTAACACCTGAAATGATGATGGCCCTTAAAAAAATCAAGGTAGTACAACAGGTAAAGCATACTTCAGTGATTCATTTGATGTCATTAGTTTTCATTAAAGAACACCATCATAGCACAATCAAGTATTACGATCTGTAAACTGATAACAAGTGTAATATCAAAGTTATGTCAGTTTTTCAGAAATGACACATTTAAATAACAAAATAGCATTTTTCTAATTATGTTTCTATAAACAAATCCTGATTATGAGTATGTTCCCAACACGTTGTGGACTTTAGACCAATTGAAACATGTGTTGTAGCATTTTTCTCATCTATTCAAATGTATTTCTTTAAAACAAATATGTAAAAATATGTAAACCTGACAAAACAAACGCACTAGCGTAGTAGATCTGTCTGTAGATCAACCATGAATTATGTCACAAAAATAACATAAACTGACCGTTGAACTCTTGCTCGTGGTTTTGTTGACCACTGTATGCCTCTGCTTGCGGCTGTGGGGGGGTGTGGTGTTGGTGATGGAGGGGGGCGGAGACATGCTCATTCTGTTGACCGGGGTGGGCGGGGCACTGTCAGATCTGGGACGTGATATACCTGTGGACAGGAAGTCAAAATCAGCTGGGATATCAAGTTCTGGTTTTTCCCTCCAAAGCAGGGAGTGAAAAAGATTTCTGATTAGCAATACTTCTACTTGTTCAGTGGACAGAACTTGTTCAAATAAATAATTGAAAGCCATTTTACACATTTCAAATGTTATGACCGATCAAAGACAGAACTCATTGGTTGACATGCAAGACAATGGTTAGATGCAAATCAGAAATCATTGACATCCATCCATTTGATTGACTTTTTGCCCCTTGTTGATGATCTTGTAAGTTAATCCGAATGACAGGAACATTTCATTGTAGTTGTTAATACCAGCACCACCGGTAATAGACTCCATCATATGCCCATCTCATTATATGATGTATCAACTGATGTGGGTACCATGAGAGTGCAGCACTGGAGAAAAAGTGAACACCCTCTCCCGTACATCTTTCTTTTCAACAGAGACACCTACAGTGCGAGGAGAAAAATCACATTTTCTTTTCAAATCTTTAAAACATGTAATACTGACTGACTTCCTCCATCAGGATTTTACTCGGGAGTACTGCCAGGTGTAAAAACTAGAAAGGAGTAAAGCTGTTAAAAGAAAATAAATAGCTGTCAATCTTTTAAATCTATTTTTCTTTTTGTGTAATGTTTTACTGTCCAGTAGGGCTGCATGATTTGGGAATAAAATAACTTATCTTTTGACTTTTACTTATTTTCACTGATATTGCGATAAGCCATATTAGCGGGATTGATCACTTATGGAATATAATTCACAATATCATTAAAAGATCCATTAAAATTATCACAAGGCTTTTTTCCAAAATAAGATTTTTTTATGAAGTCCATAGAATTTATTTTGTAGTTTGGACTTACATTTAAAATAATATTTTAGTTGTATTAAACAACGTACTGAGATATTGATTATTGCTAAGTCAAAATTGCAATTTGGATACATTTCAGATTGTTTGTGCAGCCCTACAGTCCAGACATGATTGACATTATGGACTTTGTTACAGTATGAAACATTTTTTTAATCAATTTTAAAATAGGTTGTAATCATAAAAAAAATCTACTTGATGTTTTTGTTAAAGTATGAGTATTTTGCATGAAGTTAATTTGAACACATAAAAAAATCTTAATCTTAACATGGTTTGTAGTGCCTTAGAAAGAAGGTGCACAAATCACAGCTTAACTGTCCCATGACTGAGCTTTTCATTCGAAAGTCTTTACCTAAGAATGCATCCACTAAGCAGCTGATGCCCCTCATGGCCCTGAAGAAGATCTGGGGCAGCTGTTTCAAACACGGATGCAGCACCACTTCATGAGGGATGCCGCTGGAGTTGAGAAACTGTTCCTGAAACTTCGGAGTGGTGCTCACTATCGCAGGGTTGCTCAGGTCCACTGGGTTGCTGGAAACAAAACAAAAAAGGAAATTCAAGGAGAAAGAAAAAGCTAACAGACAGCTGCTAAAGCTCATTGGACATATAGCTCTGTAAAAACCTAAGGGGCCTCTTAAAAAAAAAAAAAGTATTCTCTAAACTACTGAAAACATATCTCTCAAATTTAAAGTAAAACTATTGTCATAAATCTTGGCTAATAGCTCCCACCCTCAACTTAACTCAAGATAGTGACCTTTTTATTACCAACTGCTGTCTGCTTTTCATGCTGTTGTTTCTTGTGATTGACATTTCTGGTGGTGGACACTAATGATGTATTCTATTCCTATTTTAGCACCTTAGCATGTGGAGGAAGCGGTACCACGTCTGGGCCACACAGTCGTTGTCCATCTCTAAAGGGATCAGGCTGGCATCTTCATCGGGAACTTTAAAGGGCGGGAAGGATGGTCCATGTGTAAAGCGCAAGAGCCTGAGTAGAATAAATGATACAGGAATATGCAGATTATCACACACAGTTAAGGACACTTTTTGTATTGAATGATTGGTCACAAACAAAACTCCCTTTCAGGAACAAACTGTATGAAACCATTTTCGGCTCTAAATCCTAGTTTAAGTTGATGGCTATCTAACCTGGAGGTGAGGGCGCAGGCCACTCTGCTCCACTGCTCTACAACCGGGGGGTGGTGTCTCCAGTTGGCCAGCATTTCCTTCGCTGTCTTCCAATATGGCGGCGTGGGAAAGCAGCGAGCGCACGCCAGTAGCCACACCTCGAACAGCACCGCCATCAGTTTCTCTGCCAGTTTCTCAGCAACGCCAACTGATTGATACAAGGAGATTATTGATGCAAGTCATCATCATTAGCACACAGCTTAGTTGAATAATTGATTCTGATTAGACAATTTGGACATTCAGCAGTCTGCTCTTTTTCTATAGCAGAACGTTGCTCATGACACTTTGATCATCAAGGGACTATGTGCAGTTATATCAATTTGTAGAAGGAAGTCCAGTCAATTTAACATCAGCTGTGGCCCAACAAAACCCATTAGTTTAACCCCATCAGAAAACATGATTCATGATGGCTAAACTGTCCCCGCTGTACTCCACCCCCCCCCCCCCCCCCCCCCCGTTGACAATCGCGAAGCGCTGTACTCCACTGACGCCACCACCCCCCCCCCCCCCTTTGAAAATCGTCAGAAGTTGGAGTACCAAACACTGACTCCAGGTACTCATCTGAGTACCTCACTGAGAAAGTTGTGTGTACCCCTGGTTATATTATACATTATAATGGGCTATTATGTAGAGGGAGCATGTACAATGAAAAAAAGAATAGGACCCAGAATGCTTCTTTGCGGAACTCCATATTCAATATGCAATGTTTGTGAAACAAAGTCTCCCAAACTTACAAAAGATGTCCTTTCTGACATTGAAAGTAAGTAGCCGTGTAATGAGCGGACTGATGCGTAGCGAGCCAGTCATTAATCCCTCCCTGCACATTATCCCTTACTTAAAACTATGTGAATACAGCAGAGTAGTTAGTGAATGACAGGGATGGACTTACCTCCAACCGTTGGCGCGGCAAGTAATGTGTCGTTGATGCGAAGCAGGAAGAGCAATAGCACTTCCCAGGTTTCCCTCACCATGGAAACAGACTCACGTGCCAACTTCTGGACTGCAGTCAGAACCTGCTGGCAGAGCCTGATGTGGTTCAGACTATGCTGCTCAGGCCTGGAGGGAGAGAGGGAGAGTGGGAAATAAGGGGAGGGAATTAGAGGGACAGGCGAGGACACAAAAAATAATGTAAAATTGCATTTGGTGGGTTCATATAAGGGATAATGGCCACTGTCTTTTTAGTGCCTTTGTGTGTGTTGACACTAAAATTGAAAGCACAGTCTAAGCAATGGTTAGGGTTACTTTTATTCTTCATGCCCTTGTTCAGAATATGTATTATTTAACAATTTAATTGAATAAATGGCAACTTAATGATATTCAATATGTTGTTTTTTTAGCATAAAAAGGAAAGGTAATAGATAATGATGGAAAACGAGACAATCGGACAATTGTGAGTTTGTCATTATTTAGCCGGAAAGTTATTATTATGTGTCCTGTATATTATTATATGATTAGTTGGAATAAATTACGGGCAGAAATAATATAATACAGACTTATTTGTTTCCCAGGCACCAAAGGGAATAATAAAAACAAAATAGAAAAATTAAACATCAGCATCGGCCAAAGTTGTAATTTAAATACTGGTATAGGCTGAGAAATGTGCCATCAGTGCATCCCTAACTATCAATACATAAGTACTCCCACATATGTTTAAGACAAATATAGTGCAAAAACAAAAGTATAAGTTTCATTTCACTCATCTGTGAACCTACCTTGGCACAAAGACGTTGTAGAGGTGTTTGAGGATGGTCTGGACGTACATGTTGGGCTCCTTGACAACCGGCGTAGGCATGGAGTCCCTGGGCGACACCAGGGCCATCATCCAGTCTGTGTACACATCCACACACAGCTTCACGGTGTCTCCCTCCAGGGGGAGGGTGAGGCCATAACACAACACCTCCATGGTCCATTTCACCTGGGAACAAAACCGTTTCTCATTCAGTTAAGTGAACGTTTCAAGTTATTGGTTGTTTTGTAGCTTTTCCCTGTAGTATAATGCTTTCAAGGAGTCCTGTATATACACAGAGGCAATAACAGCTCCCGAAACATATTTCAATAGTGTCAAGTGCTGCCATTCCTTTTCAACAAAATGGTTTCTTTACGTCAGTCTGCACTGAGAGAGTTACCATGAGGAGTTTAGCACATCTGATTTATTGTCTCATAACAAGAAAGGTCAAAGGTTTAGGGCAAGATGATGACAGCAATAACAATTCACCGCCTCTCCAAACCATATGTGTTTTAGTTTCCTGCCAAATCAGAAACAGACCAGAACAACATTGTTGTAAATCCAACAAAGGTGTTTTCTTACAAGTGATACAGCTCCAAATTTCTAAATGTTAAATGACCTGCAGAAACTGAATCCAATCCAAGTTTATTTTTTCCTGCATATTACAGCTACATTAAAACCTGCATTACAGCTCTCCTTTGACAGTTTCCTGCAATACTCTGTATAACTTACTAGTCTTCAGATAATACTCAGACAGAGACAGCTTGGATCAGCAGTGGCAGGAAGGCTAATCTAAGCATTATCCTGAACATAAAGTGAACTTCAAAAGCAACAGCAACACTTCAGACTTACGATGCGCCTGAGAAATATTGCTGAAATATTTTTAACCCAAACACAGCTCCTCTCAAATCCCTTCCTGACACATGCTTGCTGTCATAATAATATCATTATGCTGGCTTGCTGTAAGCTCTGCAGTTCACTTGCTCGCAGAGAGCTTTTTTTGTATATGGAAAATACAAACACAAATGTATCGGACTTTCTATAGCCAAAGTTATAATTATAAGTGAAAGAAAATACAGATAGGAAACCAAACTGTGTTCATTTTCAGGCTGAAGCCTCCTGCAGAGAAAGGAGAAGCTGTAGCACTCCATCAGTCACGCCTTTATAACGCTTAAGTAGCTTCACCAGGTATACTCCTAACATATGAAAGCCCAACTGGGATTTGCCTAATGGAATATAAATGGACTTTAAGAGCATTAGAAAAAAGAGGATTGAGATATATCTGGTTTGCTTACTGCACATACTTTATATTTTATTGCATTCTATTTCAATGTAAATTACTGCTTCATATTATTTTCAATTTTACTATATTTTGTCTTTTTTTATTTTTAGTGTTCTTAAAATAGTTCGCTATGTGTTTTTTAAATGTTTGTTTTACTTTCATGTATGCACCACGACACCAAGTCAAATTCCTCGTACGTGTCAACCTATGTGGTAATAAACCTGTTTCTGATTCTGATGAGATAAAAATGTAACTCTTAACCTCAAAGTGAGAAGGCAGTGGCAGCATCATGCCAGGGTTTTGACGGCAGCAATTGGGAAACAGGTGAGAATTAAGGGAATGATGAACAAAGCCAAATTCAGAGAGGTCCTTAAATAAATCCTGCTCCTCGTCCTCAGTGCATGCAACCTCATGACACAATGACAATGATAAATCCAACATAGCCCTGGTCTTTATCCAGAGTCCTAGTTTAATGTATGAAAGCTTTAGTGCATCTAAAAAAGGAAGCAATGGACAAACCTGCCTGACTCTTGGTGTACAAATCTGATAATAATGCCCCAAAGGGGAAGTATAGCTAATGATGCTTCTACTTCTGCAAAATGAAGTCTGACGTTGTTTTTTTTTTTTTTTATTCTTAAAAAAAAAAAAAGGGGTTTTAGTTATCTTTCACATTTCCAAACTGCTCTCATATACCTTGCTTTCTAAGTATTAGGTATAATATTTAGACTTCAATGAGAAAAGTTACATCTAAAACACAATATCAAATGTATAATATTAAAAAAAAAAGTGAGGGGAAGCAAATCGCACAGTGCAGCTACTGACCACACCTACATTGGTCAAACTGTATGTAAATGGAGGTGCCCTCTGAATGAGGAACATTGTTTTTTCTTAAATCATACCTTACTGTTAATGTTCATAACCTTTATTTGGTGCAGCATAAGACAACACCACCAGGTCCTTTAGGTTTATTACTGCTTAAAATTGCCGTAATATCAAACAATGTGCAAAATATGCTGCATTTATTCACTTTATACACATAAAACTTAGCAGTATGTCCACAAAATGATTTGCATCCCAGTCAAACAACTCACATTAGTAGCTCAAACTCAACTGAAGAAAGCAGAAGCCTAGAGTTTTGTCTAACTATAACCCTTTTGTTCTTTTTTACTAGCATTACTACATGCACAATAACTTTACATTGAATTTTCATAATAAAATGGTAAGAAATGTGACAAAAAAAAATGTTTTAACGGAGGACAGGTCCAACGGTGTAGTATCTATGGGCTCCTATAACGTATGTTACGTCTTATGGTGAATCCCCTTTAAATCATATGGAAATTCATTTTGAAGGCTGACAGGCTCTCCATAGCTTCGGTGATGGAACTATTAGCTTAGAAGGCATTGTTTGGTGCATACACACAAGGTGTATCGGTGTTTCTCACCTCCTTGTCGGTCTTCAGGATATTCTCTGTGGCCACAGGGCTTACAGCTGTACCCAGAGGTTTGACCACAGCATTTGCCACCTCCGTACCCACGGTGGTGGGATAGCTGTGCAGAACACTGAGATGGCCCTGGTCACTCTGCACCACCAGCTGCAGCGAGCGCCACTCAGAATACATGCTGCTGATGTGTACTGCACTCTACACACACCTCCAGCCTCCACCTGCAGACACACACATATAAAGAAGTCAGTTTAACCCTTAAATGGTTTCTGTGTCCTGGAGGATACATTGCCCAGATATGGTTATAAACCAGGGATAATCACTAACAGATATACTTGTGTTTTGAAGACTATACTCTACAGATAATCAGATAGAAATAACAGTGCCATTTGGGTATAAGATGGTTGTAATATAGGTGTAATATGGATGTAATACAGGGGTCAAATGGCTGTATCATGGATTGTATATGGGTTCAATAAAAATGTAAACCCTAAATGGGCAATTTATCTTGTGAGATAAAACACTTTTTTTAAAAGATCACGACATTGTGTCATTTTAGCCTAGATACATTAGAAAATAGCAATTCATTTTCGAAATATTGTCATGCGCTTGCCCATTTAAGGGTTAATAAGGCAAGTGGGTGAAACTATGAAAAGGCTTCTGGGTCAATATCTAGCAACAATACTTCTCCACAGATGTCAATAAGTAAACCTGCTAATACTGAAATACACACATTTTACAGTGCGATAGTATTTCGTTCATAAAAGCAGAATAACTTTACCTAGGCTAAATTATGTACCCTTATCTTAAGTAACTAGCTAGTGTATTTATGGTTAAGGGTTAATGCAGGGTTTACGTTTGTAATGACAACATTTTGAACAGAAATAATTAACTATATTATAACCCTTGGCATTTGCCCGCTGCATTCATATCATAATACGACTGTATAATAAAACCTAGTGAGTTTAAAGTAATTTAATGTGTAACCTTAGAGCTAGTTTGACAGTAAACAGGATACCTCAGTCTAGGTTTTGAATAGTGTTGCTAACGCTACGTTTTCCCCACCGAAAGATAACAAAACATATCAAAGCTCACATAACATAGCATAAATGTAATACTTATAGTTAGCTCGTTTGTTTGCCCTAAGCTCAAACGAAGCCATAGAGCATTTGTATCCTCAACCTCGGGTCCGAACAAGCTGTGGATTCACAACCAGGAAACGGTTCTGAACATGATTAGCCTGCTAACGCTAGCTAGCAATGACATAAAAACATCTTCTTCCTCTTGCTGATGACATTAGCTAAAATCAGCTGCTAGCTAGTTTCTGTGATACGCAGCTATCTTGGAGGATACGACAAGAGGCTGTCGTTAAGAAAAACGTGCAGTTATTTGCGCTAAGTTATCAGGTAGTTATCTCAAACTACGCTGTAGTTGGACCGACGATGCTAACTTAGCTAATGCTCGCTGCACTAGCCCGTCCGTTGACATTAGCTGAGCTGGCTGTCATTTTGCTAGCTGCATAACTTTGCAAAGACGCTAACGTTTCCTCGCTAGCCAAGCATGCAGATGGGTTTCCATTTACCTGGACGAACGAGAAATGTTCTCATAACAGAGATCTGAAACTCGCAGTTTGTGGTTCCTATGTATCCAGGACTAGACCATAACAGCGTCCATCTTCGCAATGTCAAGGCTTGAATATTGCAGCTTGATGAGCTAACGGGAAACAGGATGTGTGGGTTGTCGCCCCCTAACGTCCTGCACAGCAACTGCATGCGACCTGGTGCTGCCTTCAGGTGCTTTCGTCAGAGTAGCAAAACAGAAGGCCCAGTTTACTTTTACTACTCAAAAGAATAATATACTGAATAATTAAAAGAGTTAATCTCTAACATGATTTTGTAATGATGCTCAGGAGATCTGATAAAGGTCCATATAAGTAACAGGCTTTTTGCTCATGATGAAGTATTTTGAATACTTTTGGAAAAAATAATTGACCTTAGATCCTCTGATTAACCATACTAAGCTTTGCCTGGTTTCACTGTTTTGCTGCACAATTTAGAAGACACAAACTAAGATGAAACAACAGGTGTTGCAAAAAGAAAATGTTTTGCATTGCTGTCCCGTATGGTATCAGGGTAGGCCTACCCTGTACTGTTTGGAAAAAATGATTGACTGGGAGCCGCCAGGTTTTGGCCCCTAAACTGGTCTATGTATTGGTCATCTTATGAATATAGCCAAAATCTAGCTACACTTAATGGGCAACACTTTGTGCCACCCATTTAAAGCTGCCAGCATATATATTTGATTCATGTTGCCTACAAATTGATTGTTAAAAGGCTTGTCTGGTCACCATTCTCTTATTGTTATTATGTTATTATGTTGCATTGTTGGAGAAGCCTGTGACATAAGATTTTCAACTACATAATTACTCTGTAGCTATGTCAGATTGACAATAAAGAACCTTGAACCTTGATAAGGTAATAGGAATCATTTTGACGTATTTGGGATAGAATTCTTGGATTTTAAAATCTGTATTTAAAGTATGTCAAAAGACACTGAAAAATGAAGCACCCAACATGATAACTGTCTTCATTCACATGCAGGGGGTTTGCAAAGTTCAAAATACTATCACTCAGTAGTAAAAAAACAAACAGTGTACTCCTCTTGCCATTTGCAAAGAAAATGGGTGATTTTTAACAGACCCATTTTAAAAATAATGGAGTTAATTAAAGTGGCAGAGCCCCTACATTTGAGTCCCAATTATACGACAAACTCCCAACAAATCTTTCATTAGACCCATTATGCCTGGTAAACAATCATTTGAATCCCTTTTAAAGAAAGAGGCCATGACTTAGAATATTTAGCATGATATACAATACTAAATACAAAAAATACAATTGGTATAAACAAAATTATTAAAGGACTTTATTGCAAGCTTTTGTTACATTTCAAATAGTGGTCAAGAAATATTATAAAAATACATTTGCTTTGAGGATACCAGTGAAATATCAGTTGTAAGCCTGTAAGGATCCTTTCAGTAGGGGGCAGCAGAGACTCGCTTAAGAAAAGGTAACAGTCTTAATATGTAAACAGCATGTCTGTTAATACTAATTATCATACTTGCATGATCCTTGATTAATAAATATGAATGATGGATCTATGAGAAAACAAGACTGCTCTAAGTTACACACAGTTGTATCATATGCAGCATCTCTGTTTAGTGTCAGGGCATGTGGACGGTTGGTTTGTCATTTTTTCAAGTTTAATGCAATCCTGTTATTAGGGACCTCATGTCTACATTCCTTTTTTTTGCAGTGTGTGAAACATGTGCTAAAAGAGAAGTCACTTAAGTACAGCTCATAAGTATTCATTATAAATGTAAATCAGATGTTCGCAGGATTTGAAAAAGAAAATGGGGCATGAGGCTCACATATGGTGCAAAGCCTTTCTCCAAAAACAAGCCAAATAAAACGTTTAACACTCCCAGCATGCCCTGCTCTGCATCTGCAAAACAGATCGAAGAAACATCTTTATCTCAACGCTTGCGTCTCCAAACTGAAACATTATACATTTAATACAGGTGTAAACCAGATGAGACAAAATAAATGGTAAAGAAAGAGTGTCCTCTGTGTTGGAGATTGTAGCAGTCAACATGTGGCCATATTGTCCCAGACCACGATTAAGTGTCTATGGCCTCCATATGAGTGCTTAGTAAGCCAAGCCAAATCTCTCCTGGATCTCATCCACAGACGGGGAGAGGACGGAGAAGAATTATTGGATGAAAGTCAGCATTCTTCTTGCCATCGGCCCTCCATGTTTGGTGTGGTGCACTTGCAGCTCAGAGATGCTAGGATTGGTAGCCGTATGCTAATGCATCTGAAAGGCAGAGGGGAGAAACAGCAGTTGAGAAATTAAATATCTGCTGTCTGAATGCTACTATAAGAAAAACTAATAATTCACCTGTAGCTAAGTCCAATATGTTTCATTTTAAAATGTCTATTCACTTCAATTAAACACACATATCTGACTTACTTGTCGTGTTATCAAGACATGAACACATGTTTCTAGTGATCTCTAAATGCAGATGGCTTTATTTCAAGGCAAAAACTGTAGGCAATGAAAATTGGTATTTTAATTTGTTTCCGGTTGTAGTCCTTTTGTAAATTAATAAAAGGGTTCTGAGATTAGTTTTAGTAAAATATATTTATTGTGTACACCCCAATACAATTGAAGTTAATGTAATGTGTGGGTTTCACAGCAATGAATAATTCAAGTAGAAAAGCAGGTGTAATAAAATATTTTTTTAAACAAATCCATTTACCCCCATTGTTTTTGGCAGAGGCAGAAATTGAAAATACAGATACCTCAAACCTGGAAAATAAAACCAAAACTATCTGCATAGATACTGTGCCAATACCAATTTATCTGTGTGTGTGTGTGTGTGTGTGTGTGTGTGTGTGTGTGTGTGTGTGTGTGTGTGTGTGTGTGTGTGTGTGTGTGTGTGTGTGTGTGTGTGTGTGTGTGTGTGTGTGTGTGTGTGTGTGTGTGTGAATAGGAAGCTTGACTATCAGCCGGCTAAAAAAGTGGGCGGCATTTATTCGGAAGGTCAGAGGTTTGTTCAGTGGCGGTTCTAGAACATTTTACACGGGGTGGCAAAAGGTCATGCCAGGGTGGCATGGGAGGGCGGACAGTACGTGGTATTTTATCCTGTATATATATATATAACCTATTTATTGTTAAATCATGCCCCAACACAAGTGTTCTTAATGCATAAGAGAAACAAGGTGTTCAGACAAACAAACTCAAATATAATATAAAACAGCAGAAAATACTCATGATACCCTAGAATTCTGTTTACTGTAAGTAGAGTAAAAGTACTTAGTTATAATTAAGTACACAAATGACATCACCCATCTCTTAAGAGAGCTAAAGGTGACCTGTGCAGCAACACATTTCAATACATATTTGTCAATACTAAGAGCCGCTAGATTGTGCTGCTGTAATGGAATATGTATGCAAGGAGAATACAAACATACCATGTGGTCCAGCTGGAGTCTCATCTGCCTCCTGATCCCTGCCTCTGTCCCTCTTTCTGACACTTCATCTTTATTCCACACATACATTTCATCTTCTTCTTCTTCACTAATGTCTTCATCTCCTCCTGGCTTTCTCCTGCTCTGACCCTCCTGGTCTCTTAAGTGTACTCTCTTTTCCTTTTCCTCTTTCTGTTCGTCCTGATCACTTCTCAGATATGTCTTTTTGTTGTTGAATCACTCCAGCTACTCTGGCCTGCAAGAGTCTACTTGTGAAAAGCATTGGTACAAATGCTTGTATAACTGTACACGTTAGGGCCATGTAGCTAATAAGTAGCTGATAAGTAGCTAATAAGTAGCCTATAATAAATATAACATCAGAAAGTATTTATCAAACGCACACAGGCAGCTGTGTTTAGACCCAGTTTGACGGTAAAGGATGTATCCTGGTTTAATGTATCTGGCCTCATTGCTGTGATGTGTAATTTACGTGGATTTAATAGTACCGCATAGTTTAGCAAATAAAAGGGATCGATCTCCCAGCTAGCGCTGTCTGTGTAGTATTTTTGTAACGTAACGTCCCAAACAGCGACCGTCTGTTAAACGCTATCGATTCAAACGGCAGCGTTTTATTAATATTTTGTTTCAAGCTCTCGTCTTTAGTAAAAACAAAACTAGTGGAAGGGGAAATGTTCCCAGGGGAAGTTGATCCACCTTCAGGTGCTGGGACAGCTCGGTCTCTCTGCAGCGATGTGAGCCGTGGTCTGTGTGAATGCCGCTCCGCAGTTTAATGCAGGGCCGTAGCTGCGATTTTAACGGGCCTAAGATGATATTTAAAATGATTCACTTTTAATTAATGAACTGCTTGTTTCGTTGCTTGAGAAGCTTGTGGACATAGTGTAGGTTTGTTTCTACAAGTACAGTTTCTGGGACACAAAAGTTAGGGGGGCAGCTGGGGGGGCAAGGCTCTACAGTGGGGGGGCAGCTGCCCCCCCTTGCCCCCCCGTAGATCCGCCCCTAACTTGTGTGTCCCCACTACTGCAGTCAACATGACAGCAATATCCTTGGGCAAGATACTTAACTTCGAAATGTGTTCTGTAGCATAAAAACAGGTCAAATGTTATCTGGCCTTAGCTTTGTAGCATAATCTGAAAGAGATTTCTCAACCCAAATAACTTCTTTGTGTAAGATGACCACATAACCTGTTCAAAACTCACCTGATTGGAACTGTGCCGTGCAGCACAGTCCCTCCCCTCGCGCCGTCCGGTAAATGGGTGACACACACACTCTGGTCGCTGGGGGGAGGTGTGTGAGGCGCGTTGACAGAGAGTCGGGCGGCAAATAGAAGGATGAGCGCTGGCCAGTGATGGAGTTCTGCTGCCCCTCCCAGGTGAGCCAGTACCCCCGCAGACCCCCTGCGCTGCTCTTCCAGTCCACCTGCACAGAGTCACTGCTCACTGTGGTCAGCTGCAGGTCCGCCAGCGCCGGGGTCACTGGGAACAAAGACCTCAAAGTCTTAAAAGTCATTAGTAGGAGTATATTTCAAAAATAATATTATTATTATTATAATTGTTTCCTTTTTTCCATACAAAACGTATTCCTTAAAAGGCTGTATAAGTAAAATAAAACAAAGAAACATGCCTTATTATATGCCTTGAATCCAAAAGCAGTATTTTTACATGAATACATTATAATAAGAATAAATACAAAAAATAGTA